TTTGACCAAAAGTAAAACATAATGATTTAGTTGTTACCTGGTGATTTTAACTTTTTTTGCCTAATTGCCATGTTGCAGCCAAAGAGCCCTTCAACATTTTTAAATTTCTCCAACTCCAACGTGATTTTGTCTTGAGTTTCTCTATCGGGAACTAACCTTTCAATGCAAGAATACAAACCGTTCTCGACTATTTCACAATCAACCTCTTCACGATGATCATATTGGATTAGCGGATTTAGGAAATAACCAGCCATGTGCAACGGATGATGAAGTTGACACCTCCACCTTTCATCAATGATCTTAAAGGCTGTTTTGTAGTTTTCTTCTCGTACATGGAAAGCCCGCACAATTGTCTCTTTAGCCCTTTCCATGGCTGCATAAATGTATCCCATAGCTGGTTTTTTTCTCATTATCGACGATCCTAAGTACCTTAACAAGAGGGCCAGTCAACTTGAGAGCATAAAGAACTTGCTTCCAAAAGCTTTCTTGCAAAATATACGTTCTCACTTTTTTTCCTCCCGCTTCCTTTGGCCACTTCGAATTATTCCATTCTTCGGAAGTAACCAGCTTCCTCAAGTTATTCTTTTGCTTATTATAGTGAGAAAGGGTAATGAAAGATGTTGCAAACCTCGTAATAGATGGCCTATGCAAATTTCTTTCGCTTGTGAATTTTCTCATCATGTTCACAAGAGAAGTGTAACTATAAATGTAGCCATTCATGAATATGCACTTCTTTATAGCTTCTTTCACCAATGGAAGTTTTCCAATATCCTCCAACATCAAATCAATGCAATGCGCGGCACATGGAGTCCAATAAAGATGCTTCCGCTCTGTCATTAGTAATTTTCCTGTACATTAAAGAATACAAAACATAACAAAAAATTAAGATTTTATTAAGATAAAAAAAAACAGAAATCGTGTAATTCAAAAGTATAGCTAAAGATGAATGTCAACTAATTTATTATAAAAAAACTGAGATGATCGATGAGCTCATTCAAAGGGAGTGGTTTTATCGAAGCAGGCTTTCTTGTTGGGATGTTATTGTAACCATAGGCAATGGCGACATCCTGGTGAAAGATAGCCCAAACTATTAATTAACGTATACAAAATTATTCATAATGCCATGAACATATAAAGGTCTTGGTTATGGAAAATTACCTCCATAACATCACAGGGGTGGAGCACGTCGCTTCTGCTTGGCGGTACATGTACTTTTACGAGACATTGGCTATCACTAGATTTTCATCGCTCAGCATGTAACTGCATTCGGTTCAGCAGACTTGTAACCTGGAGATTACAGATGTCATTCAGCAGACGAAAATGATTAAAACTTGTAATATGGAGACACAAGAAAGAAAGAAAACACACAGCAGACCAGAGAGAAAACTCCTAAGATGCCAAGATTTACTTTCACTGCAACCTCTAGATCGATAATTCAACAACAAAAAGGAATATGGTTCTTTAATCACAAAGTAACAAAACAACTTGATCGCATCAATTGCCTTCATTACCTCTTCCACCTCCAAAGACACTCCAATTGAAGCCGTGATATAAGAGAGAGGGACTTCCATATCGTAGACAGTTAAATCCGCAGAGATGTATGAGTCTCCGTTGTCATATGTAACTTCAACAGGCTCAATCTCAAATTTTCTCTCACAATATTCGGAAAATGTTGTTACCTATAAAACAAAAAGGAATGGTGAATGATCATTGAAATATTAATCAGTTAAGCATAGTAACTGTTGATTACTACCATTGTATTAAAAACAATCCTGGCCTTCGTCAAATCGGTTGCTGTACATTCAATGAAAACATTCTTCGTCTGCAGACTGATTGCTGAATGTGCACCATTGATAATAGGTGGCAGTGACAGCACAGTTCTGCAAAAGTGAACCTTCATGATTTTCAGTTGATACACATGTTTTACTGCGAAAAACCACCAAATACCTTGTACTGTCGTATAAAACAGGGAAGACGGGTGAGTTCTCGATTATGTGTAGATATTTCTTCAACATTTAAATCTGACTGC